ATCTTGTTGCTACTTTGTTATGTTCCTCTTCTCTGAGAACATTTTTCATATTTATTTTCTTTTAGTAGTTTATTATCCTGTTGACGAGTCAGCCTCGTCTTTTATAACTATATAGTGTTTTTTCTTCTTTCTTTAGTAAGACCTTTAACATTTTACTTGGTCAATCCTTTTTGGTTGACCAGCAAATTTTCAAGATTTATTGCAAAAATAAAGCCTCTAATTTGCATCTCAATTCATGCATAATTATTCTTTTCATTCTAGACTCCAAAATCTTACTCGTAAAATCAATAGAGAGATTTTACCTTGTTAAATATTGGTTTTACGCCATCTCTCACTAAGTGTCATTAGAGTTATTTCACAAAGACATGTGAGTGAAGGAGTTAATTTCACAAAGATTTGTAAGTGTCGGAAGAAGACAACAAAGTATAATTTGTAGAGCCTCTTTATGATTTCGTATCACGGTGATCAAATTAGACAAAGAGTGGATTATCTTCATGGAAAGAGAAGGAACTGCAAAGGCCATGTTCACGAATCCGTTTAGGTCCACTTCCCTTAGGACAAATTTCACGTCAAGATCTTTGTTACAAAGACGTGAGTGAAGGAGTTAATTTCACAAAGATTTGTAAGTTTTCGAAAGAAGACAACAAAGTACAATTTGTAGAGCCTCATTATGATTTCGTATCACGGCGATCAAACTAGACAAAAAAATGGATTATCATCATGGAAGGAGAAGGAATTGTAAAGTCCATGTTCAGGAATCGTTTAGGGCCACTTTCCTTAGGACAAATTTCATGTCAAGATCTTTGTTACAATTACGTTCTTCGTCAACCATTTAAATTACCCCTTCTCCCATTTCTTGATATCATCAAGTTCACGAAAATATGTAGAATTAAAATCACCTCAAGTGTACGGCTCGTTACAAGTAATAAAGTGGACTTTTTGAGTCCATGTATCGTCCCACGGGGATTGATTAGTTCTAATTCAAATTATCGTGACCTTAACCGAAACAATAAAATTGAAGTGCTATTGTAATGGAATTATAGCTAAATTAATCTAATTATACAAGGATGAATGATTTAACTAAACTGAATGCAAATAACGTTGAATGTAATTTGGAGTTTTCGAA